TTATCACTAAGGTTCCCAATGTCCTAGTATTTCCAGAATTGAGTGAACATTTCCAGAATTGAGTCTTTTATTTCACTGGACACTTATTCTCAGTATATGACACTCCTGTTCACTTTCTTGTTCTTAACCCAACTCTGTTTGTTGGATTCTAGTAACCCCTTACTTCCCTAGACTCCATAACTTTTTGCTTTTTTCTGTAGGTTGTTCTTCCTGTTTTCAGTGCTCAAGTTTTAGTGTACCCTAGGGTTTCCTTCTCATTGAACTACGTTTCTGATACTCTTCGCATTCCCCTAAGGGAGCTTGTCCACAGTTTCCATTTCCACAGAATAATGTCATATCCCTAACTCAGACTTATTTTCTAAGCTTCAGATTTTAACAGCTAACTGATTCCTTGAGATCTCCACCCATGTCTCACATAAACTTAAAGCTAATCATGATCTAAACTGAATTCAGTCTCTCCTACACAACTGCTTCTACCTCAATATTCTGTGTCTTCATTGTTGGCACCACCACATGCTGGGAAGCTGGGAGACATACATGACCTACTCTTTCATTCCCATATCCAGTCACCAAGTTCACTGGTTTTCATCTTCTAAATGTTTCCTGAGCCAAACTTTTTCTCTTTATTTTCCACCTCTTTCATTATTAGCCCTAGTAAGTTTTGGGGTTTTTTCCCCCCTTTTCTTTTTTTCCACTAGAATAAAGTGATGCATCTACATATGATACCTATCTGCCAAAATCACTTCCTAATAAACATCTTTTAGTGGTGTTCCTTCACCCATACAACAGAGTCCTATCTCCCTAACAAAACATGAGGCTCCCATCTGTAAAAGTGGGGAATTATAATCTACCACACAATTCTTTTAACATTGTTTCTATAAATGCTGAGTTTAACTGATATGTAGCTTGTAGGTAAACAGCATGTTTGTGTAAGAATCCTAGGAACTAACTTCAAAAGATACAGATTCTGCCAAAACCGGTTTGGCTGAATGGATAGAGCACCGGCTTGGGGACTGAAGGATCACGGGTTCGATTCCGGTCAAGGGCATGTACCTTGGTTGCGGGGATATCCCCAGTAGGGGTGTGCAAGAGACAGCTGATCGATGACTCTCTCTCATCGATGTTTCTAACTCTCTATCTCTCTTTCTTCCTCTCTGTACAAAATCAATAAAATATATTAAATAAAAAATAAAAAAAAAGATACAGATTCTGTCCTTCAGTCTTCCCAGTTCCAGGAGACTTGTTGACCTTTGACCCTAAAACCAGGATGACAAAAAAACTGTGTAACACACACCAGATCATCACTTAACCTCTAAGATATAAGTCACAGTAGGAATATTTTCCTACACAGAGAAATCTCCCACATGTGCTCATGCCTCCGATTCCACAGTAGAATGCCATGCTCTGACTTTAGATTTTGATCCTTGTTGTAAAGGAAATTTATCCCATGTATAGTCCCACATTCCATTGCAATTGCTGGCTAAAGGCATCCCATAATATCTCCCCAGTTGTCCTGGAAGTCTCAGAAGCCTTTTTAATGTGTCGTAAAAGTATGCATAACTCCTACTGATCCACAATTGCCAATATTCTAATCATAACACTGATACAATTCCATTCTTTCCCACTAATATACTGTAAAATACACTAGCTTTTTTAAGTTTCAAGTTTTATTAAACTGTAGTTGTGTCTTATTTCAGTGATAATTCTTTCAGTTGGAAGAGACAAAAAATCTGATTTCAGGTATGGCTTAATTTTAGACCAATATGATATTATCAGGATCCATCTTTTAATTCAAACAGGGTCTCCCCTTACTTCATGCTGGAAGCTCCAGGGCTGTATCCTTCCAGTTTTGAATCCAGCAGGGAAGACCAAATGTCTTTCCAAAAAAGGCCCATTCAAAGAGTTATCTGCTCTGAATGGATCATGTTCCCATTATTGAGCCAATCCCTGTGGTCAGATGAATATGCACTAATTAGCTTGGGCTTTAGCCACTCCTCTGGAGCAGTAAAAAGGAATTAACTCCAAGGGAAGCAGCAGTCTTACAATTGGAGACCAGATCATTTCTAAAAAGAAATCAGGAAAATGTCATCACAAATCAAGTAATGATGCTGGCACCAATAGCAACTTCTATCCTCTCTATTCAGCTCCTTCCTAGGAGACAGATTTAGAGACAGCTTTTTTCTTTTTTCTTTTTTTTTCCTTTTTTTTAAGTAATTCAAGTGTTTTCTTATGTGCCATGTGTTACACCTCGGTTATATTCTCTCTTTCCTTTCTCTGAACTTCTCTACATTATTCTTCCCTCCCATGTGCTATCTTGTGTTCTGGTTATTTACATACATTTGTCTCCCCAATTAAATTATTGGCTATGTCAAGTCAAGAGCGAAGTTTGAATAACTGTGGATTCTGATTTGTGCCTTTCCTATAGTAGGCATCCCCACTATTCAACAAATAATTATTTGTTGATAAATGAAGGGATAAGAAATATGTGGGTCTTGATGTGGTCCTCTTTGAATTCTTCTTGTTTGGGACTCTCTGTGCTTCCTGGACTTATAAGTCTATTTCTTTCACCAAGATGGGGAAGTTTTCTGTCATTATTTCTTCAAACAGGTTTTCAATATCTTGCTCTCTCTTCTTCTGGCACCCCCATAATTCAGATATTGGTATGCTTGAAGTTGTCCCAAAGGCTCCTTACACTATCTTCATATTTTTTTATTCTTTTTGCTGTACTGGTTGGGTGTTTTTTGCTTTCTTGTATTTCAAATCATTGGTTTGATTCTCGGGATCCTCTAGTCTACTGTTGAATCCTTGTATATTATTCTTTATTTCCATTAGTGTATGCTTAATTTCTGACCGGTTCACACCAAAACATGTCATAATTAAAATGCAAGGGCAAAAGGCAAAGAGAGAATCTTAAAAGCAGCAAGAAAAAAACAGTTAGTTATCTACAAGGGATTGCCCATACAACTGTCAGCTGATTTCTCAACAGAAACTATGCAGGCCAGAAGGGAGTGGCAAGAAATATTCAAAGTGATTATTAGCAAAAACCTACAACCAAAACCAAGATTACTCTACCCAGCAAAGCTATCATTTAGAATTGAAAGTAGGATAAAGAGCTTCACAGATAAGAAAAAGAAAGGAGTTCCTCACCATCAAACCAGTATTATATGAAATGCTGAAGGGTATTGTTTAAGATGAGGAAGAAGAAGAAAAAGATAAAGATAAAAAATATGAATAACAAAGTGACAACAAATACATATCTATCAACAATTGAATCTAAAAATCAAATGAATAAAAAATCTAATGAACAGAATAAATTGATGAATGGAATAGAATCAGGGGCATGGAAATGTAACAGACTGATGATTCTCAGAATGGAGTGTGGGGGTTTGGGAAGTGATTAGTCAAAGATCTGATATGCATGTAGGCATTACCTATGCACACGGACAACAGGGTGGTGAGGGTCTGGAGTGGGGTGGAAATCCAGTGGAGGGGAGCTATGAGGGAGTGACAGAGACATCTGTAACAATCTCAACAATAAAGATTAATTTAAAAAAATGAGTGAGTCTTATTCATATTGTCATCACCTCATGGTAATGTAATTCCTGGACGGGGGTATGCAAGGCACTAAAACATATGATAAAAACCTACTGTGTGTCAGGTACTGTGGAAAACAATGGGAATATAAGGTTGTAGTGATTAAAAAACAAACATTGTTCTGCCCTTCAAAAGCTTGTCTATATATATATATATATAAAAGCCCATCAACCAGACTGGTGGAACGACCAGAACAATCAGAATGACCAGTGGCTATGATGCATACTGCAGCAGCCAACCAGCTTGATCTGTGCCCTGATCCTCTTCCCGGCCGGCCCAGCCCTCAATCAGCCCCGCCCTCAATCAACCCCCCAACACCCCAATCAGCCAACTGCCCACAGCCCCTCCCCCTGGCCAGTCGCACTCTCTACTGACCCCCAACCAATCAAGGGCCAACCGCCCATAACTCCTCCCCCCAGCCAGCCTGGCCAATGGGCCCCCATTGGGGTGGGCTGCCAGACCCCACCTGTGCATGAATTCATGTACCAGGTCTCTAGTACTGTAATAAAGAAATAATGTACTTATTGAATGGAGTGTAATGAATGCTCCAAATGATAATTATAAGGTGTTAAAGGAGAATACATTTTTATTTTTATATTTTTTAGAATTTGGGTAAGCAGTTTGATTAAATAAAAAATGCAATTGTCTCTGTATTAAGAACCAGAATGTGAGCCCAGCCAGTGTGGCTAAGTGGTTGAGCATCAACCTATGAATCAGAAGATCATGGTTCAATTCCTGGTCAGGGCATATGCCCAAGTTATAGGCCCAATCCTCAGAAGGGAATGCGAATGAAACATCCAACTCTCATTTTCTCTCTTCCTCTCCCTGAAATCAATTTATATATATATATATATATATATATATATATATATATATATATATATATATTTAAAAGAACTAGAATGTGAAACACACAACTCTCCTGGTAAAGGAGGCATTTCATACTGGCACCCAGCAGCATGTTTTTTAAAGGTCGTTCTGGTATCCTGCCGAAACTGGTTTGGCTGAATGGATAGAGCGTTGGCTTGGGGACTGAAGGGACCCGGGTTCAATTCCAGTCAAGCGCATGTACCTTGGTTGCGGGCATATCCCCAGTAGGGGTGTGCAAGAGGCAGCTGATCGATGACTCTCTCTCATCGATGTTTCTAACTCTCTATCTCTCTCCCTTCCTCTCTGTACAAAAATCAATAAAATATATTTTTTTAAAAAATAAATTAATTCTAGGTTGGCTAACTCAGGGACCACCAGTTTTGCTGAAGATTTGTTAAATTTGGAATTTCTTAGAGGATTAACATTAGATTCTCAAATATAAATTCCAGACCAAGAAATAATATCTTATACTGTAATAAGAAAAGAGACTAATTTGGTTTCTTCTCCTCTTTCCTTTCTCCCCACTTCTCTCCCAGCCTGAAGTTCTGGATCAAATACAAAATTTAAGGGAGTTATGGATGGATAATAATGCATTACAAGTACTACCTGGGGTATGTAAGTTTTTATTATACCATGTTGTTCAACATCTGGGTTATATATTAACTGCAATTGAAGATACTCTTAAATCTCAGTGTTTGCATTTCAAAGTAGTAACACATTTGTTAGGTGTGTTCAGTTGCCAAGTGTTTTTCAGTAATTTGTTTCTGAGTATTTCATATATCCTTCGTGGCTGTTACAGGTATATAAAATGTATGAAAGACTTTTCTTCTTCTCTTAGGAGTATATTTATCATCTCTTTCTGTATGTGTTATTTTTAAAATTTTTTATTGTTATACTGTAAAAACAGAAATGCTATATATAATACCAACTCTTTGTTTTGTGCAATCATCCTTATTCTTCTTGGTAATTAGGTAATGGTTTCTGATCATATTGTTAGATCTCTTCTACAAAATAAAAAAATCTCTCTTAGTTCAGGTGATATTTAGTAAAACCCATTTGAATGTTTGAAAATGGCAAGGATCATACATTGTTAACAACAGAAAGTAAAATTATAGTCAAATTTTCCCTCAATTAATGAGCTGTCCAGTATCTCCTGAGCAGTAGATTTGCCAATCAACTCATTTAGTGTGACTATTCCTTCTTTTCCCACACAGTGAAAGAATGACATTCCATAAAACATTGCCTCTGCATATCACAATGCATATATTCAAATAAGCATATGTAGGCTGGCCAACATGGCTCAGTGGTTGAACATCCACAAATGAACCAGGAGGTCCCAGTTCTCTTTTAATTCCCAGGGCACATGCCTGGGCTGCAAACTCAATCCCCAGTGTGGGGTGTGCAGAAGGCAGCCAATCAGTGATTCTCTTTCATCATTGATGTTTCTATCTCTCTTCCCCCCCCACCTTCCTCTCTAAAATCAACAAAAATATATTTTTAAAATAAGCATGTGTACACACACAGCAGCAGCCACCAGGTTCCCAGTGGTGATAGCAATTCCAAACTTCCTCCATTAGGCTAATTAGCCAGGGCAGAAGAATTTAAATACTTCTTCCACCACGGAGATTTAAATGCGCATTCCTGAAGCCAATTTTATTCCTCTTTAGAATTGACATTGAAAATTTCTTTAAATGATTACAAAAGCAACAGGAACAAGAAGCTTATTCTCTTTTGAACAAGCCTGAAACCACATAAAGGAGAAAATCTGGCAAAAGATTAGGGGGGAAATGCTTTCTTTTCTTATCTAAAAAATGCATTTCTGCCATCATCAGAGACACAAACCAAAAAAGCATGCATATCTTCTTATTTATTGAGTTCTTCAAAAACCATTTACAAATACACCCTTCTGAACCAGAAATTATCCTAATGTCAAATGACAAAGCTAATATATTCAATGATTTTGAATATATTTGTTTTGAGGAGCTCACTCACACATAACAGAGAGAAAGATCTGGATTCCACTACACATAGTACAGCATGATTTGTGCCATATTGAAGGTATGTACACACCCTGGGGCAATACAGGTAAGATCCTCATCAATTTCCAGTGCAAGATTGAGGAATCAAAATGTTCCTACATGTTTCTTCAATGTAGTTTATTTATTTAAAAACACACAGCATTTATCATGGGCTAAGCATCTATTAATAACTAGGTGTTTTACCAACACTGACTCATTGAATCCTCGTAATAACTGTGAAATTGGGTTTTTACCATCCCCCTGTTATAGATGAGGAAACTGAAATGGAAAGAGTAACTAAGTGACTAGCCCGAGGTCACACAGCCAGTAAATAGTGGAACTGTACTTTGAACCAACTCCCCAGGCTGTTGTTCACTATGACGTTTCAGAGTTTTATCGCTAGGGAGTCAGTAGAAGATACAAATGAGAATTAGGTTTATCTTACTTTTCACAATCCTTACATTCCCAAAATCTAACCTTCCAAACCAGTTCAGGACTCAAATCCCTTAGCAAGCTTATTATTTAAAAGGCAAGGTAATATGAAATCTGTAAAACAGATAATGCTGCTTAATTTGTCTGTTTCAATAGTAGATTTTTGTGTGCATACTAACAACTTTAAGCAGATCTCTTACGTTAGTGAGTACACTTGAATTTCACATTTTGCTATACTCCTTGTGGAAATACCCCACAGCTCTCCTGTCAAACAAGTGTGGCTTTCTCATGTCAGTGCTGGCAAACAGCTGTTACACAATTACCTAGAAGCGCATGACTTTGAAAGACTAATCTTGAATGTGGTTTGCAGCCTGTGTCTGTTTCACAGATTGATTAATCCTAAATATTTAGTGTCTTAAGACACAGGAACAAAAGCAATTTTATTATTAGTTCATCTATCATAATACATTAAGGTAATGTACTTTTTAAGTAATTGTAGAAGCCCAGGCTATCATTTTTCCACTGTAGTTTTCATACATCAGAGAAGCAAATGGATAATGATGAAAAATTATTCTTCTACATAGCTCTGTCTTGTAACCATCACTCTGAGATCAATCAACCAAAATATGACTAGACAATGTGTTGAGTCCACATCTGTTTTTAATCAAACTTCAATGTCTTCCTTTCCTTGTGATGGCTTCTGCTCCTCCCATTTGCTCTCCATTGTTCACCACGGCCTCGCTGTCCAAGGGGCTGCTGGAGGGACATCCCATATCCTCAAGGGCTCTGAGATACTGGGGCTCAAGACCCCTTTCATTCTAAGATACTATTGCCTTGCCAAAACCGGTTTGGCTCAATGGATAGAGTGTTGGCCTGTGGCTTGAAAGGTCACAGATTCGATTCCGGTCAAGTCATGTACCTTATTTGCGGACACATCCCCAGTGGGAGGTAGGCAGGAGGTAGCTGATCGATGTTTCTAGCTCTCTATCTTTCTCCCTTCCTCTCTGTAAAAAATCAATAAAATATATATTTTTTAAAAAAAAAATACTATTGCCTTTATAAGGTGCTTGAGAGTGAGAGTTTAGAAAAACTAAAAAGAAACACCAACGAATTATTTTGTTTTGTTTTGTTCTTTAAAGATGTTTAGAAACTTTAAACCAAAATATTGAGTTGTCCTAGAGATAACAATGAAAGAAGCTTCAAAGAAGAAAGTTGCTCATAATAAAGGAACAAAAGATACACACACACACATGCACATAAACACATATATCATTTTTTCCTTGCTCACTGGAAAAGAAGAATGAGATAAGGCAACATAATAGTTCCTTGGAGTGGAAAGCTGTAAGTAAAGTGACAGTATTTTTCCAAATGACATATTGCTAGACATGGGGAGAAGCTCAGCTTTCTGGCCTGACTCATCCAAAGTACTCAGTTCCCGGTCTGGCAAGTATTAACCTACTCCCCAATTTTGTTTCTACTGTTGGGAGCTGAGGAGGCAAGGCTAGAGTTATGTGCTGGGTTACTTTGGGAGTTAGAGGGCAGAACTGCCAATATAATCAATAGGCTTTGTAGTGAGTAACCCAATAAAGGTGAGTTTAAGATTAGCTCTACCCCCTTATTAATGGGTAACCTTGGAAGGTTGCTTGCAGTCACTGCTGCCAAGCATCACCCTCCTGGAATGAAAAGCTTACTCTATCTCCCCAGCTTCTGGGAACACTGACTGCAGCTCCCCACCCTCTTCAGGAACTGCCTTCAGCTGAAGAGAACCCCCCCCCCCCGAGGGTCACACCGTTATTCTGAAAGACCTCCATCCAATGACCAATCCATGCAGGGGTATAAAAGCCTGGCCCCCCGTCACCCCAATCGGGACAACGTGAAGGCAGCCCCCACTTCAGTGCTCCCTAAAGGGTCAGCTGGAAACTCCCTCGGGACTACCACAGCCCATTTCTTCATCTGCCCGATCCTCCTTCCTGCCTCACCTCTTTCTTCCCACTGTTACTGACTCTAAGAACACTCTCTCTTTGTCTCTGCTTCTCAGGGAACCCAATGGGTAACATTCCTGAACCTCTAAGCTTTAATGAGTGAAGGACAGATTCTGACTGGGTAGGTCTGGAGTGGGGCTAAGCATCCAGATTACAGATGAGCCCCCAGGTGGTGCCAGTGCTGCTGGTCTGCATAGCATGTTTTGAGTGGCAAGAATATAAAGTATTAAGTCAAATAAATAAATATAAAGTGCTTAGCTCAATGCCAGCTGTGTTTGTAATAAATTTATTTTCTGTATTTGGTTAGCTATACTTTGTCAAGTAAGTAGAGACACTATAATAAAGTGTACACAGGTAGAGACTAAGCAGGTGAACACTGGTATGTGTGAGACATTTATTTGCAAGAAATGCCCTTAAAGACAAGGTAAATTAAGACTTTTATTTTGCTTTAAGTCCTATTGCCCATTGTCTCAACTAAACCATTACTGTTCGCTTCCTGCCCAAGGAATGACTTGATTCCTGCTCCATCCTCAGCAATCAGTTACTCAATCACTCCTCTTCGACATCTTTCTGGAGCCCATTCCCTCCTCATCCCCACTTCTCCCCCATGAATTCAGGTCCCTCTCACCTCCTCAGCGAAGCTGCTTCCAGGTCTTCCTAATGAGTCACTCTGACTCCAATCATGAATCTTCTCCTTACAATTCCCTGAAGTTATTATTTCAAAGCAGAAGTCTAGCCATGTCATTTTTCATCTGAAAAGCCCTGAACGGCTTTCCGTGCCTGTTAGATAGAGTGTGTATCTCCTCGCATAGCATGTAAGGCCTTTTAACAGCTGGCCTCTTATCATCCTAACTTCATCACAATATGCTGTCACTTTGAATTTCTCACCTTCCACAAACATGCCGTGCTTTTTCACACTCCTCTGGGAATGTATGTGCTGTTCTCTCTTCCATGTGCGGGTTCTTCTCTTCCTGACAGGCAGTATCTTCCAGGCAATTTGCTGCACTATGCTTCCGTGGCATTCCCTCCATGCTTTTTTCAGTGCCATATCACAGGGTATCATAATCATTTGTTTATTGGATGGTTTCCTTCATTACTCTGAGCTCCTTCGTGATAAAGACTTTATATCATGACAAGTCTCTCCCCGTCCTTAGCTGACTTCGTCATGGTCGTTCTCTGGTACGGACCTATTCACATTAGGTCCTCTAAAGGTGTTGTTGAGTGAACAAAATACTGAATTAGCTTAGTATAAAATCCAAAGCACCGTTTAAAACCTTCCTTATGCATTTGAAATTTTAGGAATCAACATCTCAATATGGAGTGCTTTGGTAGCAACTTTGTGTTATGTAATTCAGTGACCACGTTGAGATGATCGCTGTGTGTGTTTCTAACTGCTGTATTGAGATAGAATTCACATATCATAAAATTCACCCATTTAAAGAATACAATTCATTGATTTTTAGAACACTCACATAGATGTGCAGTCATCACCAAAATCTAATTTTAGAACATTTCCATTACCTCTGAAAGAAACCCCGATGCCATTAGCAGTCACTCCCACTCCATTCTTCCCCCAGCCTCTAGCAACTCCCTATAAATCAGTCTATTCTGGATATCCATATAATGGAATCATACAATGGGTGGTCTTTTGTGACTAGCATCTTTCACTGCATATGTTTTCAAGGTTCATATATTTTGTAGCATGTATTAGTACTTTTTATGATAACTAATATCACATTTTATTTATTCATTCATCAATTAATGGACACTTGGATTGTGTCCACTTTTTGACTAGTGTAAATAATACTACTTAGAACATTTGTGTTTTTGTGTAGACATGTTTCATTCTTGAATACATACCTAGGGATTACTGGATCATAGAGAAACTCTAATTTAACATTTCAAAGAACTATCACACTGGTTTTTTTTCCAAAGTGGCCACACCATTTTATGTTTCTACTAGAGATATATAAGCATTATACTTTCTGCACATCCTTGCCAACACTTGTTAGTGTCATAGATTCTTTTAAAAATAATTTAATTTGTGGCTTTTGCAACTTTAAAATGCCTTTTGAAAGTTTCTCAACTAATCCTGAGTTTATGCGATGTCATCAAGTCTATAGGGAAGTTAAAGATGTTGGTGTACCTGGATATGTCAAAAAACAGAATAGAAACAGTGGACATGGACATTTCCGGATGTGAAGCCCTTGAGGACCTCTTACTGTCATCCAATATGTTGCAACAGTTGCCGGACTCTATAGGTGAGAATATGTTTTGTCATAAATGTTTGTCAAATATGTAACTTTCTTTCTTGGCAGTATAGTTTGTCTGTAGATGTGGGGAAAATACTGTTAGCTTGATATTAATAAATTAGCAAGTTCATTATTCAAGATGATAAAATAGTATTTTACTGTTTTCTTAAAAATATAACTAGTGACTTGGTAACTAGTTATCAAATTCAAGAAGGCTCTCTTATTAAAATGATATTAATAAATTGATGTATTTAAATGTTTTCAGATCTCCTAACTGAAGATGTTATTATAGGGAGTATATATCTTTGATTTAGAGTAATTTTATTTAGAGTAATAAAATTATATTCTAATTTTAATATTATTATAACATTGCTGTGATCTATGAATGACATAAAGATGTACAATAAATATAAAGTATCTTATACTTCTATTATTTTTATAAGACACAAAATCTTTTACATGCTGTGATTCAGATAATTTGTCTGTTAGCATATACTAAGCATTCAATCCATTTTTGTTTTAAATTTTTATATTAGTAGAATAATAAAAGAAACTAATTTAAATAATGAGTAAAATTTTTGCATAGCTATCTTGCTATTATTTATGAGAGTACTCATCAAGTAGGGTAATCATCAAATAACTTAACTTTGGAATATAGTTTTTAACACTCTGAATTAAACATGTTGTATGTTCTGGAACTTACTAATCCTCCTAAAAATTAAGTCACACCTGAGGCAGCCTGATTGAAGGGAAGCTAGAAGACAAGGTAGTTTGCCAAATTACTCTTCAATATCCTGTTGCTTCCATGTTCAGGCTAATAGAGAATATAATTTTAACAAGATAGGATAGCTGTTCTTTTCCTATCTTTAACAAGACAGGATAGACTTTTTGATTTATATAATCACATATTTTATAACAATATTTCTCTGATATGCTCTGTCATAAGACTTACTTGAGTGCTTTATTAAACACACCTTTCCAGACTCTCATTCTGAAAATTCTGATTCAGTAAGTTTGTGATAGGCCCTCTAATCTGTATGTGTATTAAACACCCTAAATCAAATTTATGCTCAAGGAAGTTTAGGAAATATTCTTTTGTGCAATAGAAGTTAAAGAAGTACAATGGTAAAAAGAGCATTCTACAGTCAGGATATACTCCTACTCAAACACCACTCCATACCTCTTCAGAGACATAATGAGAACAGAAAAATAACTCATGTCAATACTGCCTCATTGATACCAAAAACTATACCTGTATGTGGTAAGCGCTCTTCAAATATTTAGAAAATAAAATAATTTAGACATACTTAAAAAGAATGAACATCTATCTAAACCTGAAATAGAATAAAAACATACCAGTGACCGCAGGCCTGAGAGACTCCAAACCTCAAACAGTAGTAGCAGCCTTACGTTCCTTTCCTGCTGTGGGGTGAGGGGTGGTGAGAAAGACCTTAAACATAACAAGGGAACTCAGATTTATAGGGGATTGAAGAAGGAACTCCTTATCTGTGAAGAGAACCTACAGTTTAATAGGTTTTTGGTGGAGCTAGGGTGGAAGGCAAAAACATATAAAGATTCTGGAAACTGTGGCTAGTCACAAGCTGCTTTGAACTAGATTTTCAATATCCACATGAGATGAGAACACTGTGTTGCTAATATAAGACCTAGTTCTGAACTCCAGAAACATGAGGGTCAGGGGGAATCATGAACTGCTAGACAGGCAGGCGTCAGCATAGATGAGAATACATTCACCCTCACAAATGAGCATGTAAACCAAAAAGAAATTTAAGCTAATATTATTATGGCAACCCAAATATTCAAATAAGTAGGAAAATTTGCCCAAGGGAATCTGAAGTCTTCAAGCAATGTAAAAGAGAGAGAGAGAGAGAGAGAGAGAGAGAGAGAGAGAGAGAGAGAGAGAGAGAGAGAGAGTGTGTTTGAGTATGTTTAGATCTTCAAATAGATAAAAGAAAAATATTTCTCAAAAATAATAAGAACTTGTAAAATAAAAACAGAAGCTATGACTAAGAACAGGTATTTATTTAAAAAAAAATAACCCATTAGAAATCCTGGAAATAAATATATCACATAAAGAAATAAAATATTTTGTAATATTTGTTTAAACTATCTTCCTTTAAGAAGGTAGGATATGAAAGTAGCCTGCTGGTCTAGGAAAGGTAGCTGAGTTCAGATTCTGGCATTTCTGCTAGATGTGTGACCTTGAAGAATAAATGAATTAATCTATGTAATGTTGCTTGCAAGAATACCTAGAACATAGTAAGTACTCAGTATTAGCTGTTATAATAATATAAACATTATTGTAATCTCAGATTTAATGAGTGCACAGTATTTAGGCTTTTAAAATTCTATTACATGTGTATAAATTTAATGTAGATATCAGCTATAGTATTAAATAAATTATATTAATATTTAAATATATTTACTACTAATTATATATTTATAGCTAAAATCATAATAAAAGCCCTCCTTTTTCTTTCTTTTTAGTACTTCCTAGTTGGGAGAATAGGATAAAAAGGTTGGGAATTGGGAAAGAATGCCAAGAGAAGGAAAAGAATAGGATGAAATACTTTTGATTCCTGTAGGGTAGACAAAAAGAGTCCAAGCAGGTGTGATATAGAAATGAAGTAAAGGAATTATCTGCCAGAGTAGCAGTGCTGAACAGCAGTGATGGTGAGGCTACCGGCCTAATTCCATTCCAAGGGCAATCAGATGCCAACAAAAGCTCCAATATCTGTCCAAGAAGCTCCCCTTGGATGGAAATACGAGTGACAAAGAAACCACATCACAAATGAGGGAGGTGCCAATCGAGGGAGGCATAACTTCCTTCAACTTTCAAAGCTGTAGAAAAATCTGTCAATTGTCAGAGCCACTATCCCATTCTTTAGAAACATCTGTTACATCCACCTTTTGGCCTTAATCCTTAACTGACTCATAATTTTCTCCCTACTACATCACACCTGGGGACTGCGATTCTCTTAAAGAAGGCTTTGAGACCTAGCTGGCTTCCTGGTGTTGGCTCAGTCCAAAACTTCTTGTGACCTAGCCAAGTGATGTTGAGGAAATCAACCCTCCTCTAGCTCCATGGGTGGGCAGGGGCAGTAATTTGATCAGAGTGAACAAGCCATACAAAGTTTACCTATGATTCATAGTCTTATTTTCTTTTCACAATTGATGAGCAAGCTCAGGAGTTCTTTTACACGTTCAAGGTTGATATTTTAACATACACACCAGAGAAGCAAAGGTGACTCAGTCACCCTTTGAACAGAGATGAATGTGGCAGTGGGTGTCCCAGCTTCAGAGATAAATGACCCCAATGTGGATTGTCCTCTTTTTCAGAGGCTGGGCTGTTTTCAATACTGTTTCCTGGGGTCACAAACTGATAAAGCTCTAAATATTATGGGCATTTTTTTCAAAGCAGTCTGACAGTGATCACATTTCTCCCCCTCAGAGTAGAGATTGTGATGCCTCTGAAGACTGTGTAACTGAGCTTACTGCAATTGAAAGTCCAGCCACAGCTTTATTTCAGAATTATTGTGACTTACTCTAGGCCTTTAAGGAATCCTTGCAATACTAGCAGTGGGTGGGCATGGTCTTCTCAACACCTGTCCGAGATACTCCTCAGGAATACACACAAATGCCACAATTTTGGATAGACACATTGCTACAGTAATATAGTTAAAAATCCTAGAAAAACTTCATTAAAAAATCTGTTTTACTTTGTTTAATGTGATTTCCCAAACACAGACTTATACCCATCGGAACAAGTTTTCTGCAAAACAAGTAGTCTAGAATATGTGTGCATATTTCTAATTAAAGCAAAAAATTAGGCAGCTATTAATGCTTTACCCTTGGATTTTGGCTACTTAAGCCATATTGATATTATATGTAATGCTACAGCTGGATAAAAGAAGTGGTTCTCAATTACTCTGTGGCTAATATTCATTAAAACCCTGGAAGTAGAGCAAGCAATACTGGTGTGGAAAGCATAAATCAGACAGCAAAGATAAATAGTTGAAATTTCACTCTTGGCAAGTTCTGCATAGTGTATTAAAAATTTTCAAATTTTTGTGCTTACTGCTGATCCAAGTCAAGGTTTTACAGCCTCTCTGAAGCCAGAAGCAGAAGGATTGGTTGAGTTTTTTAGTAACAAAAAGAGTATGACATCATATGTTGTAATTTTCCAACTGTATAATTATAACCACTGCATTGTCCCACTTCAGTTCCCATTTGTTAATTATTTGGCTTAATTCAGATTTGTTTTCCATTTGTATGACTACAGGAATGTTAGTTATTAGTGCTTAGGAGTTAATTAAATATTAAGTCACATCTGCCTTGAAAAATTTCATCTGGTCCATTTACTGCATAATAGAAAATGGAAATGTGGCAATATTACTGTCAACTCAAGTTCTATGGTGCCCTATGTTTTGTTTACTTGTCTGCATTGATGAACTTGAACTCCTGTTGACATAAGTAAATTTTTGCAACTGGAAGGTCAAAACTAGACTGCACATAAATATCAGTTTGTAGTTTTTATATATGCAGAGTGCAGCCAATTAGCATAACATTCATCACAAGTAATTATTTTATTTCTCTTATAGTGCATTTTCCATAAAAAATCTGTCCTGGTGTATTAATAAAACTTCTCTGTTTTAGGACTGTTGAAAAAACTAACTACTCTGAAAGTGGATGACAATCAACTCACAGTATTACCCAATACAATCGGAAAGTAAGTGCCAAAGTTTCATATCAGACAGCCTCTCTGAAGCCAGAATCAGAAGGATTGGTTGAGTTTTTTAATTCAAAACCTTTTTTTACTACAGATACCAATAATCTTATTCATATGTAAACTTATTTTAGACCACATTTTATTTAATTATAGATTTTATGTATCTTAATTTAATTTTATATCTAAATATCAAATTGACACTCAACTATATAAAATCATGAAAAATGCTTAACCATAACTCTTTCATAAGAAAGTGATTACCTAACCTTCAATTATACTCTTGTCCTTAATTTTACACACTAATTTGATGTTTTGTCTGTGTAGTAACTCTAAATTCACTTGAATATGTCTTAAAAAATAAAATCAATTTAATGTGCATTATGTATATGTTACCATTATATTAGTAGTAATATTTGATATTTATAGAATTATAATGTATTTTAGCAGGTAAGGACCTAACTATCTATCTTAGCTTGCACTACTTAAAAGTTTCAAGATGAAAGGTTAGCATTGCATTTTAAGGATAAAACATAGGTTATTTATTTGAGAGCAATTTATATCTAATTTTTTTGTTGACTTGAGTATTTGGTTCTCAATTACTTAAGAAATATATACTCTTACCAGTATTTCACTGAAATGCTTTTGTCTACATCTTATATAAAGTGAAAAATCAATAAGGTGGTCTTCATTCTGAAATTATGTAAGACCATTTTATAGAGATCTTACTCCACATTTCAATGAAGAGTTATATAAATCTGTAATTTAACAGATTTGGATGTACTTGGGGTGGGGAGGTTTAAAAAAAAAAGTTTTCTTAGGTATAACTAACATGCAATAAGCTACATATATTTAAAGTTTACAATTCAAGAAGTTTTGACATAGGCAAAAAACCATGAAACCATTGCCACAATCATGATTCTGGTGCCCTTTCCACTTTACTTCGCCCAAAGTTGGCAAGTAACCACTGATATGGAAAACTTCATTGGCTAAATTCAAATTCCAATGTTCAGACTTTGGAGAGTAATAAAAGTCTCAATCATTTTTTAAATATGTTTGTGTCCTTATCATACCATATGTTTTGTTCTTCAATTACTTCCATTTTCTCCAATATAAAGTAAAGCCAAATTTACTTTCTTTAGGGGTACATAAAAGTAATTATCTTTATCAGTCTGATGCATTTTAAAAGCTTTCCTATCTTATTATTTTCTTAGGCACTAATCTTTCCTGTTAGATCAATAATGAATTCAACTTCATTTATCTCTACAAAAGTTATGATTGGTATTTTGCCACTTACGTTCATATTTCTTATATAAATTTATATAAACTAATAACTCTAGCTCTGTGAAGATAAATTAAAGATGTTTGACAATGTAAAAACCAATCAAGAAAAGTTTCTTTTTCAGTATGCAAGTAAATTTTATGCTAGGTTATTTAAATATTTAATTTTCATTTTAGCTTTTCAAAATTGATACTTTTTGGAGAGAATCAAGATGGTGGTATAGGTAAACACTGGAATGCACCCTACCTCCTACAGCCATATCAAAATTACAACTAAAATACAGAATGACTATCATTTGTAGCCACCTAAAATCTAACTGAAACAAGTCCTACAGCTAGAGAAGTAAAGAAAGTACATCAAGACTGATAGGATGGGGTAGAGGCTTGGAATGGGCAGGTCGATACCCACATGTGGTGTTTTTTTCAATCATGAGGGATATCTTGGCTGTGGAGGCCTCCCATTAGGAGCAAAGGGTCCCAGCTGGCCCACACCATTACCTATGACAACAGGGTGGTGAAAGCTTGGGGCGGGGTGGGAACTGGGTGGAGGGGAGCAATGGAGAAGAATAAAGGGGTCATCTGTAATGTTCTCAACAATGAAAAATTAAAAATAAAATAATTGGAAAAAAATGCTACTTTTTTTTCCTTAAAAGTACGAAAAAATTATCAAAGATACATGGGCCTAATTAATTCAAAGGTTAATACTGGTTTAGAGGGATAAAGGTTAATAATCTTATCATAAAAGCTCACTTTTTTAAAGTTATTTTCAGTGCCATTAAAATCCTCTGTTTATTATTTCAGGGAAAGTAAAAGGGAAGTGTTAGATTAGTCCAATCACAAAAGCAGAACTTTTTTATAAAATAGTAGGGAGTATATGGAAAAACTCTATCTCTTTTGCTCAATTGTTCTGTGAACCTAAAAAGTGCTCTAAAAAATAAAGTCTCTTAAAAAATAAGAAGAACTAACAAACTTGGTTATTTAGACTTGGGCATTTGGCACACATTTTGCCAAAAATGAACAAAGTGAGCTTGACAGTTCAAGAAAACAACTGCCAGTGTTTGTTGCCAACAATAAAATTAGAGCTATTAAGCAAAAATTAGAATTTGGGAAAATATTATCTGCTGCTGTGAGCTTGAAAGCTTCCCAATACTTAAAGGCTTTTCTGATATTATGAAATGTGCCAACATTTAAAAAATTGTTTAATTCAGTGAAGCAACGTTTGTCAAACAACTAATGCGTTAGTTATAAAATCAAGCATGAGTAAGAGACCCATTTAAAATGGAAAACAGACCAGTTGATTTTAATGTATTGGTATAAAAAGAAAGAAAAGTTCATTAGTATGGTTTCAGATTGCACATTGCAATTATCCCCTTAAAAAATTGCCACTTGTTGAGTTTTAGTATAATAGCAAAACAAAAAAAAACAAAAAAAACATACATACATATATATATATTATTATTATTATTATTTTAAAAGGCTTTAAATTTTTTCTCCCTTGTGCAACTACATATCTATGTGAGGCTGGGTTTATTTTACATAATTCAATCAAAACAATGTACCCCAACATATTTAATACATAAGCATGTAAGAGAATCCAGTTGGCTTTTATTAAACCCAACATTGAAGAGAATTGCAAAAATAAAAAGAATGTCACTCTTCTCACTCAATGATTTTGTTTTGGAAAATATAGTTACTTTGTATAAAAATATATTACCTATATTAACATATCATTGTTTGTTTTTTTTCTTGTTATTTAAGAACCAAAAAATAATTATTTTTTAAATTATTGTTTTAGCCTAAACTGGTTTGGCTCGGTGGATAGAGCTTCAGCCTGAGGACTGAAAGGTCCTGGGTTCGATTCTGGTCAAGGGCATGTACCTTGGTTGCGGGCACATCCCCAGTGGGGGGTGTGCAAGAGGCAGCTGATCAATGATTCTTTCTCATTGATGTTTCTAACTCTATCCCTCTCTCTTCATCTCTGTAAAAAATCAATAAAATATATTAGAAAAATAAACATAAAAAAATAAAATTACTGTTTTAATTTATAGTATGGTACATACGAATAAACATAAAGCATATAAATAAAAGTTCTTAAGGGTTACCAGTGATTTTTTTTAGAATGTAAAAGAGTCTTAAGATGAAAAATTTTGAAGATTTCTGTTCTATATCACACCATAGATTGGATAGTAAAATTATGACAACTATTGTCTAACTTATGTTCTCACTTAAAGATATAGCACCTGTATACAAATGTTTTGCATCTACCCATAAGGCAAAAATAGACTGTTTCTAAAATTTTATAATGCACTTTAATAAGGAATTTGTATGAAATAAAAATAATAATAATTAAGTACTATTATTATTTTGTTTTCCTTAGAAAATTCAGAAATGATAGATCAGAGGTTTAGTTCAAGGGCTAGAGTTGAAATTTTATTATGATCCTATTAAATGGCAACACAGATCACATTCAGAAAGTGTTTTATAAATAGTGGGATAGTCTATATTCTATTATGCACCATTCTATCTAAGACTCTGTGCATCAGCTATAGTGACCAAAAATATTCTCATTCTGTACAGAGAATGCTTCCATATGTTACTAGATTTGTCTTTAGCAACTTTAGTAGTCCAAATATTAAAAACTACTAAAATAATTCACTTTTCAGTATTTTTCACAGTTGAAATAGGTTCCATGGTTTTTTTTTGCCAATCCTATATAATAAAAGGCTAATATGCAAATCGACCAAACAGGTGCAACAACAGGTTGACAGGTTGCTATGGTGCACTCACCACCAACATTGCTTTATTGTACTCTGTACCTCCTCTTGTACTCAATGCAAGAGCTTCCCTCTAGTGGTCAGTGCACTTCCACAGACAGCACTGCTCTGCCAGAATCCGGGCAGCCCTAAGGATGTCTGACTGCTGGATGTCTGACTGCTGTCAGTCAAACATCTCTCAAGGGCTCCCAGACTGCAAGAGGACACAGGCCGGGCTGAGGGAACCCCACCCCCAAGTGCATGAATTTCGTGCACTGGGCCTCTAGTGACTTATAAAATTGTTTATTTTTCTTGTTGAGCCTAGGAATGCCAGGTGCCCTAAGAATTGGATTTGCAATGAAAATAATAATTAATAACTTTCTGCATGTGTTCACATTGCACCAGACACCAGTTTTGGTGGTTTGCATGCCTTATGTAGTTAAAGGCCCATTAATACTATATTTCAAAAGCTTAGCGTTGAAATCTAGTAACTTTCCTTAGCCTGAGTTTCTATATTTGTTGATGGGACATGAACGAGAGGCAATTGAATGTTTCTCACATCAATATTTTTCACTCTCTCTCCCTTGCTCTCGCTCTAAAATAATCTGTTTGAAGGAACATATCCTCGAGGATTTTTTTTAAAGGAAAATATTAGAAGATAACTTTTACATGTTTCAGAAACAGACTGTTCAAAATGTGTTTTTTAGGGTACCTTTCTACTTCATGACATTTCAGTGGAGCACTATATCTATACCACAGGCTTTGCATACATTTTATCTTCATGAAACTAAATATTCGGCATTACCAACCAATTTTACAGATGAAAAATCCATTCATATAAAGTTCTTTCAGTTATTAAGTGGTCACACTAAAATTGGAACCCAAGCCTGTCTGAACATTTTCCACTGAATTATATCACTTCTGTATAAGAGTTAAAAATGAACTAAGAAAGTGAAGCCCAAAGCCATT